AATCATGTAAACTTGATACACTTTGGATTTACAAAGGCACTCTGAGGGAAAGATGGGGAATAAATTAAAGAGGTAGACCTAGAACAAGGATAAATAAACTATGGCCCATAGTTTGTAAGTCCTCTGTGTCAAGACTTTTTTTTTTTTAATTTAAAATGGTTAAAACTGGCTAAAAGAATAATATAACATTAAAATTCTAAGAAATTAAAGCTTCAGGGGCTGGTGAGATGGCTCAGTGGTCTAAAGCACCTACTTAGAATAAGCTTAGCAAAGCACAGGGACTGCGGTTCAATCCCCCAGCACCACATGCCAGCCAGCCCTGCCCCCTGGTGGGCTGAGCTGGCCACACACACACACACACACACACACACACACACATAAATAAATAAATAAAAAATTAAAAAAAAAAGCTTCAGTGTCAAATAAGAAAGATTTAATTTTGTTTATTTTCTGTATTTTAGGGAAGGGTCTGCAAGGTATTCAGGGTCTCATTACTAGATCAGACTCATAGTGATTTTCCTGTTTACAGCCTCCCAAGAGCTGGGATTACAGGTACATGCCACCACACCCAGTCTCAGTTGCCTTCTCAGCATTTCCTGGGGGTGGAGCCAGCATGGAAGGCCTGGGGATTGAACGCCCAGCCCCTGTGCCTGCTTGCATGTGCCTTAATCCGCTGAGCTATTTGGCCAGCCCAAGCAAGAGTTTATTGAAATGCCCCCATATTTATTTACATACAGACTCTATGTAGGTGCTTATAGGCTAAAAGGATCAAGTTGAGTAGTTGTGACTGAGGTGCCATAGCCCATAGCCTAGTATATTTACTATCTGGCCTGTTTTCAGAGTAAACTTGGGTTTTTTTTGTTTGTTTTAAATGTATTTGGTTGTTGCAGGATCTCATTGTGCAACTCGGACTCATAGTAATCCTTCTACTTTCAGCCTCCCCAGCACTGGGATTACAAGCATGTGCTTGAAGTGTGTGCCACCTTGCCTGGACCATACTCTGGAGGGTTCAGCCCACCCTGGGGGTGGGTCTGGTGTGACCAGTGGTGCCAGGGATCAAACCACTGTCTATGCACTTGCCTAAGCATGCCTAAGCAGGTGCTTTAGTCCACTGAGCTATCTTGCCTGTCCCCAGAATAAACTTTTTGATTCTTGTTTTAGAGTGTAACATACTATGAATTAATATAAAATTGCAATAGGGAAGAGAGCCCATGTAAACTGAATTCAAGTTCAGCTTGTACAGAGGTGACTGGACCTTTTAAAGGAAGCATGAAGGAAGAGAGAAAGGGGTAAATGTGACTCAGTAGAGCCAGGGAAGTGAAAAAATTCAGAAACTGGGAAGTGGGTAGTTGGTTTATGTTAAATCAATCAGGGTTTGCTACCTGGCACTTAATGTAAGTTAGGATCCTGCCTTTCCACAGAGGCTGGAAAACAGAGCCCCTGTCTTTAAGGGTTGGCTCAAATAGTAAAGTCTTGGTAGCCATGAGTTTTCTCAGGCAGGTTTATAAGATCATCTTAGTTAGGTGTCCTTGAGCTGTTGGGAACTATGTTTTGTTCGTGTGTATAGGCTAACAGTGAGACCTAATGAAGAGAAGCCGGAAGAGACTGAAGAGTTTGGTCAAGAAGAGAACGTATTTTAGTTGGCATACAAATTAAGTCTGTTTTGCTGCTCAGGAGAGACAAGTGGCTTAGATGAGAGATATCTATGGAAACAAATAGGTGAGTATAGGGAGTGTGTTGCAGAGGGGACAGAGGTGACTTGCTCTTGAATTGGTATACTCCCAGTGAAATTGAAGGTTTCTTTTTCATTCACTGAAGAAACCACCCATGTAGCCAAAAGAGTAAACAGATTGTGTTGTGTTTCCTCTCTACATATATATGTTTTGTTTTGTTTTGCTTTTCAAAATGCAGACTTGCTGTGTAGTCCAGGCTGGCCTTCAACCAACATTTATTCTCTCAGGGCTGGATTTATAGGCATGTACCACCACACCTGGGTTATGTGTTGTATAAGGGGCAAAGACAAACGATATATGCAACTCTGGAAAGCAGCTTCAGTATGAAATGAAAATATAAAGTATATCTGTCTGGCATATACCAGCATTTTGAATTGTAACTTTATCTTTATAACTAGCTTCTTTCTAAGTTTCTTAACTATATATATGCTTATCCTGAAAGTTTAGACTAGTCTTTTAAAATACAGCACATTGGGGCTGGTGAGATGGCTTAGTGGTCTAAAGCACCTACTTGGAACAAGCTTGGCAAAGCACAGGGACCATGGTTCAATCCCCCAGCACCACATGCCAGCCAGCCTCGCCCCCTGGTGGGCTGAGCTGGCCCCCCCCCCACACACAATAAATAAATAAATGTTTAAAAAAATGAAAATAAAATACAGCACATTGTTGTAAATGACTTGCAAATATGAACTTTGGGACTGAAGCAATGTTTTGAGAGATAATGACTGAAAATGTTACTAAATTAATGAAGTATAGAAGTACTTAGAAAGTCTAATGAGTCCCAAGCAGGATAAGTGAGATTAACTTTCACCAGGTTATACCATAATTGGGCCAGCAAGGTAACTAGGTGGAGTAGGTGCCTGCTTAGGCAAGCACAGGGCACAGAGTTGACACCGCACCACACACAATGCAGACCCCGCCAGTGGACACGCATGCCTGTAATCCCAGCGCTGGGGAGACTGAAAACAGGAGGATCACTGCGAGTCCCAACTGCGTAGTGAGACCCTTTACCCAGTGCATTAAAAAAGAAAAAAGTATAGGTGAGTTTTATGGATGCTATTCTTTCACTACCAAGGTTCTGAAATAGATTAGTCTCAAATAAGGCTTTACATCTTACTTCTGGTAATCATGATACATTTTTAACTGGTGTGTTTGACTAGTACTGTCCAGGTATCATTTTGTGAAGAGTGTCATTTTGTGAAGTAATTGCTAATTTTGTATGGAGTACTAGTGTCTTAATATTAATTAGTGGTACTGTGGAGGAAGTGTTTCTTTTTTGTGACTAGTTTTCTTTTTGGAATTAAGGAAATTCAGTGTCAGGAAAATGATTAACTTCTTTCAGAATGTGTAGGGACCGTAAGGCTATAGATTAAAAATAATAAATTTGTATTTTGATTTTTATTATGCTACTTTTATGTCAAATTATTGGGCATAGAAATTAAGTCTGTTTCACTGCTCAGGAGAGACATGTGGCTTACATGAGAGGTATTAGTACACATGGGAACAAGTTGCAGAGGGGACAGAGGTGACTTGCTCTTGAATTGGTATACTCCCTATGAAATTGAAGATTTCTTATTCTTTTAATCCAGTTTTAGTAGTTTTTCTTTCTGTATTATGCAGTCATTACTTTATTTTTCTTCTGATTTTCATTGATTTTTCTTTCCCTGTTTCTTATTCATAGTATTCTAAGGAACAGCTTTAATTTCAAGTCACTATTAGATTTATTCATTTTACATTTAAAAAGTAAAACGAAACAAAACAAACACCTCCCTGACTTTCTTTCACTTTTCTTTTAATTAGTTCCCCTTTCTGCACCATCACATCAGCCAGTATAATGGGCTGTTGTTGAAAATAATTATTCTGATTTTCCCACATGGGATAACTTTTGTGATTGTCAGGCGGAAGACAGTGTATGCACTCCTCGCAAGTCAAGCATTCCAGTCTGCCTTTGGATTTTGTGATCTAAATGTTCCCTGGTCCTTTACTTTTTTAAAAAAATTTTTTCCATAATTTTATTGAGAAATAGCAATGAGACAGTTTCAAACCAAATTGATAGGATAGTTCCAATAATTAACACATTGCATACATTCTTCCTAGTGGTTAATTGCTGTGCAAGATGCAGACATGATATCCTATTTACAAACACCATTAGAACAAATCCCTCTATTAAGAGAATGTAACTATATATCTATCCTAACCACTTTGAATACACAGATACAAAATGGACATTCATCTGTATCCCCTTTTTTTGTTAAGTTCCATCATTTAAATATCATAGGTGTGTAAACTCAGCAAAATATTCTAAAAGAGTCTAGTAGCCCATAATAGTATTGGGTCTTCCATTTGACTGGCAATGTCAGAAATTGTTGACCTGAGTCCCCTACAGCTCAACATAACAGCATGGCTTTACTGCTTATATTTCGTTTTTATACTTTTGTGCTGGATGGTTAAGACCAAGGTAAAGCAGGACCTATGCAGCAAGAGTTGTAGCTTTTGGGTCTGATAAGGTCAGTGAAATCCCCTCAGGATTTATCCTGAGATCCTGTACCTCAGATTGTAGATCCTTTGTCAGTGTCAGCCATGTGGATGAGTCACCCTGGTCCTTTACTTTAAAGGACCTCACTGATGAGAGAGAGAGAGAGAGAGAGAGAGAGAGAGAGAGAGAGAGAGAGAGAGAAAGTAGTGTACATGTGCATGGTTGGGAAAAGGTGTGGAGATGTCCAGGCAACTTTCCCCCTTATTGTACATACTCACCAGCATATACATATTTCCACTGCTTTTCAAAAGTATGTTTTCTCCTTTAGAAACTCTTTATAATAGCCTCTATTTATAATCTCATTTTAACATTATGATATGAAAATAAATGTGTGTACGTATTTGAGATATAAAACTTACCCTTTTAAGGTTCTTACCTTTCTAGGTGCCAGTCTGCATCTGGGAGCATTCTTTATTATGTTGTTTTAAGTATCTTCTCTAAGTTTTTCTCCTTATAATCATCTACTTAGGAACTTTAGACTGTTAACTTTTATTTCACATTGCATAATAAAATTTTTCTACTTTTTTTTACATATATTTGCTGCCAGTGCACATATTATTTTATCAAGATACAAGTTCTTATCCAGGAAATGTTTGTATTTTCTGTGTACATTTCCATATACAAAAATATGTTTAGCAGTTTTTATTTTTAATTCAACAAGCTAAATTTTTCTTTATAGTCATTTTTGATATGTCTTGAATATTAAATTATGTTTGTATATTGTTATTCAGGTGACTATTATATGGTTAAAAAGATTTTGGAGGAAAACAGTTCAGGTGACTTGAACATAAATTGCGTAGATGTGCTTGGGAGAAATGCCATTACCATAACTATTGAAAACGAAAACTTGGATATACTTCAGCTTCTTTTGGACTACGGTTGTCAGGTACAAGGCTAGAAAATTTTATCTAGTAGCTTTAAGAAATGTTAGATGTGCTGTGTTTTCATCTTTCCTTTCAGTTTACTTTTTATTCTGTTCCTTTCTCTTTTTCTCCTTTGTGTTCTATTTTTTTGAACCACTACCAAATTTAAAATACAAACCAAAAGGCCATTTTAGTGTGGTTTTGATTTACTTCTTCCTCTTGTCACCTTTTCCTATATCTGATATATGTAATGACTTTATTACCTATATTGTCACTGTTTACATTATATACCTAAAAGAAGTACAAGTGTTCTGAAAGTGTCAAGGAGACAATTTTTTTTCATGTTATTTATGGGCATGCAAACAAAATGCTACTGACTCACAAATAATTTTGTTTGACTTTGATTTTCTCATAAGATTTATTAAATTTTCATTTGAAATTTAATACTCAGGCTTAAAGATGAATTATTTTTATTTTAACTGGAAAGAATAAACTTGTGTCTGGCAGTTCAGATAGAAATGCAAACATATATATATATATATATATATCTCCAAAGGAATTAAACCTAAAGATTCTGAAGGAAATTTAATAGTAATACTATTTCTCCCCTCCATTTTTGGTTGAAACTTAGCAGTGAATTCTAGGTTTTTTTTTTTTTTTTTGCAGTACCAGGGATTGAACTCAGGACCTTGCTCTTGCCAAGCAGGCACTTATGCCACTGAGCTATATCCTCAGCTTAGACTGGCCTTGAACTCACTATGTAGCTTAGGCTGTGCTTGAACTCACAGAGATCCTCCTGCTTCTGCCTCCTAAGCACTAAGCACTGGATTTACAGGAGTGTGTCACCACGCCTGACTTCTTAATGGGGCATAGTTTATGAGTGATATCAGGAAGCACTCAGAGCAGGCTTTCTAAAATAAGTAGTTCCGTGTACATCTCTATTGTATGTACCATATGGTACTATGTCACACATATATTCTTAGAATTAAAAAAAAAGTTGCTGAAACCAAAAACTTCAGCAATCCAGGACACACCTGAGAACCATTAAGTGAAACATACCTCTAAGCAACCAGGTTAGCTGTGAGGAAGTTTCCAAATTAAGTTTAGTTGTATAACTACTTCAGGAACCCAACTTCAAATCAGCTGTTTCTCATTTTAGATTCCATTTTAACAAACTTAATTTCTTAGTCCAGATTGAATTAGAAGGGCAGTGGAAGGGGCATTTGAGCTGCAGCACAGCAGAATGAGACAATGTTTTGGAGACTATTTAGTGATGAGGTCAATAGCATTTCATATCTGATAATCTCTGAAGGAGCTATGAATTAGAATGGTAATGAAATTTATAGCAATGGACTAGATCCATAAAGAAATGTTAAATTATATTCAGTACCTATTAGTTTAGAATAATACTTAGTACTCTGAAAGTAGATTTTCATCAAATGGCTTACATTTTAATGTTAAGCACTTAAAGGCATAAGCTTCAGTTATTTAGAAAAAGGTTTATAAAGAAATCCAGCCCCTGATGATTCTGGATAAAAGAGGTTCTGGATAAAAGAGGTACTATGGTATAATAACTGTTTATATATATACATGTATATGTATAGTTATATGTGTATAATAATTCTATAGCATTCATGTTTTTTTCATGTTCTTGTTTGCATTTGAACGTTAGTGTCAAACTATGTAGATATTCTTTTGTAGCTCAGAAAACTGAGGCTCATAGATTTTAATGAGTTGCCCAAAGTTTTAATATTTAGTAAAGGCAAAGCTAAGATTTTCATCTTCTGACTACAAATCCCATACTCTTCCCAGTGCAATGTGTCCTATCCAGGCTATCTGTGTCTTAGTTTATCAGTCAATATTCAGGGCCTTTAGTTGGGTGTAAGATTATGGAAATAAACAAGGGGGAAGTAGGGATTCTTTACTAATGGATTTTAAGTAACTTAGAAAACTAAAGTTAATATGAATGATAAATCAATTGAATAATACAGAAACATTTGATAAGTGTGGAGTGATAATGCTTGACCCTTGTATACTGCTTTATAGTTTCAGAATACTTTCTTTTAGCATGTGTTATATCAGTGTTTCTTAATTGAATGATTTTTGTCCTTACCAGTGGACATTTGGCAGTGTACGGAGCCATTTTTAATTTCACAGTTTGGAGGCAGGTTACTACTGGTATGTAGTGAGGAGAAGCTAGGGAAGCTGCTGAACACCCTGTGATTTACAGGATGGCTACCAAAATTTTAAAAATACATCTGGCCCAAAATGTCAGTCGTACCATTATCGAAAAACTATTTTATACTTAATTATTCAGTATGAATATTTTATTATTTTATTTTATTTACTTATTTATTTATTTATTTACTTATTTTGGTGGAACCAGGGATTGAACTCATGCCCTTGCACTTGCCAGGGAAGTGCTTATTTTACTGCGCCATCTCCCTAGCCCCGAGTATGAATATTTTAGAAATATAGAGGAGATTGGGAACATTGAGGGTTGGATCCACTGGGAAAGGTTTTCTTGGAATAGTATCAGTTGAGGTCAGCCTGGCAGTATTGCTAACACTTATGTAATACAATTCAGGGTCAACAACTTTAAATATATGCACTTACTCCTCACAATAGCCTGAAAGATATAAACAAAGACAAATGCTACGTTTGTGGGTATATGTACATTTGGGGGGATTTGAGATAGAGTCTTGCTATATAGCTCAGGCTGACCTTGAACTCATTATGTAGCCCAGGCTGACCACAAACTCATAGCAATCCTCCTGCTTCAACATCCTAAGTGCCAGGAAGACAGGCATGCACCACCATGCCTGGTGCAATATATATAATTATTTAAAATTTTTTTTGTTTATTTATTTATTTCGTACATGATCTCACTACGCAGCTTGGACTCGTGGTAGTGATCTTCCTGTCTCAGCCTCCCCAGCGCTGAGATTACAGGCATGTGCCACCATGCCTGGTTTCAGTGGCCAGCTCAGCCAGGGTTCTGGGGCCTGCATAACATGCTCTATTGTGGATTGAACCTGGATCCTTGTGCTCGTGAGGCAGGCACTCAGACTGCTGAGCTATCCCCCTGGCCTGCAGTGTATGTTCTTCAGACACTTAATTGATAGCTGCTTTTTTTTTATTTGAGTTTTTAAATTTTTTTAAAAACATTTAATGTATTAGTGTGTGTGTACAGTACATAATATTCATGTTTCTTGTGAGAAGTTGGTGCATACCACATCCTGATTCCTTTTTTTCATCTTTTATTCCTTCCCTCCCTTCCCCTCCTTTCATTTCTTAATCTCCTTCCCCTTTGAGAGTGATCTATCCCCCTACTTCCTGTTGTCTTGTATTTTGCTCTCTATTTTTACTCTTAATCTTTTTGAACAAAATATTTGAGCTGGAGAGTAATGAAAATTAAAAGGAAAAATAAAAGCTAAAGCCCTTGAATACTAGGCTGAAGAATTTGGGTTTTATAGAATGGTGAGATATCATTAAATAAATTTTGAGAAAGGATGTGATATGTGTCAACTATTTAGAATGATAACTCTCATAGTTGAATTTAGTATAGACTAGAAAAGTAGGGAAGACTGTAGCCCACATGAGCAGTTTTCATAGTAATCAAGTTATGAAGATGTTAAGGCCTGAAGTCATAGAGTGGCTATCGGAGAGGGGGAAAGACAGATATATGAGAGATATAAAGGAAGAAGTATCGAGTCTTGGTGAATTCTTAAATCTGGAAGGGAGAATTGAGTTTAAGATGATTTGGAAATCTTAAACATTGGTAACTGGAAGGAGGATGAAAGAAAACCAAGTTCAGAAGAGATATCCGGCTTGGAGCAATGGAAAATGATTTCTGATTTTAGCCCTGTTGATTTAGAGGTTATCAGGCAGCTCTGAACAGATAATCACAGGTGAAGCTTGAATCTCTAGGGCATGTCAGGCCAAAGAGATATGGTATCCAGGCTCTGGTGGCACATACCTATAATCTCAGCTACTCAGGAAGCCGAGGCAGGATGACCCAAGTTTGAGACCGGCCTGGGTAACCTATGGAGACCCTCTCTCAAAAAATAAAGAAGGCTGTGAATGTAGCTCAGTCATAGCGTGCCTGCGTAGTATGCATGAGACGCTGGGCTCAACTCTGGTGCTGTAAAAATGAATAACTAGGTAGATAAGGAGAGACAGATACAGTGGGCAATCATAGGCATGAGAGGACCACAGATGTCGTGCAGGTAAGTGAAGTCAAGAGTAAGCAAAGGACTGGTGCAGATTCATTCCTAGAGTGCCTACATTGAATAAAGGACACTAGAAGGAAAGCCTATCATTAAGAGACCAGATGAATGCTAGAAAATGCCAGGGGAAGTTAAGATAATGTGAAGGTGTGAAAGACAAAAACATTTGATATGTTACTTGGAACCCTACCCAGGGATATAGCTTATCTGCATACCACCTCCCTGGCAAGCACAAGGTTCTGAATTCAGTTTCCAGTATGAAAAACAAAACAAAACAAAGAAACAAAAAACCTTTGAAAATTAGGAGATAGTAAAGGCCATTAGATTTTGAAAGCATTGTATCAGTAGAATTAAAGAAAATGATGCACATTGATTTGAGAAGTTTGACACAGTGAAAGTAAGAGGAAAATGGAATGGAAAGTTAAAGATAGAATGGATCAAATTAGCAAAGAGTAGAGAAGATTGTGAAATTGAAATGAGCTGAAGAAGGACCATCCCTATCGAAGACTGAATACTAGGGTGGAAAATTATGTTTGGAAGTGAAGTAACTAGTTTCTTATACTTACCTAAGAAGAAAGAGTATGGGAATTGTTGAAAAGACAAATTCTGAGGTAAGAAGGAAAATAGTGACTTTATGAATACATAATAAATGTTATGTATTGAAAATATTCTAACAAGGAATGGTCAGATATCTGAGAAATTAGGAAAAAACCCAGCATTTTTGTTCAACAGAACTGTCATTTATTTATCAAATAATGTACTATTTACACAGAATAAGTCAGTAGTCACTCCTTATTTGCATGATATTTTTATGTGAATATTTTTATAGCTGAAGCTTATCCTTTTAAACATTGAAAGATTTAGTGTAGGTCTTTAAGCTTTACTAAGTAATGTATCTGAATATAATTTAACTTTACCATGACAACTTGGAATCGTTGAGAATGAAGTAATTTTACTTTGTTTCATATGTCTGAAACTATTACCATGTTTGTCCTTACAGATTGCTGTAAGACAGTATGTCTTCAAATTGCTATTCATAGTAAATTTACTATACTAATATTTTACTTTTTCAATGGTTAACTTTTAGCAATTTTTTTTCTTCTATCCTTTTTTTTTTTTTTTTTTTTAAACAAACTTTTCTTGTTGTAAAGATCTGAAGACTAGTTGGGAAATCTGCCAGAAATCTGTCATTTATAGACAACTGTCAATGTGCATAGGCCTGTTTCTTTTGGGAAATGATGCCCATGAAGTGAGTTTGTGATAGCTTTTTTTTTTTTTTTTTAAATTTGGTATTGTTTTACATTGGAGCTGGATCCATGGCTATGTTTCAAATGATCAGAGTTGTGTTGAGAGCGGTATCATTACTCTAGTTTTATAGGTTAAAATTAAACATTATAAATGAAATATTGAATAGTGATGGACATAAGGATTTTGGTTGCTTTAACTGACTGTATATACTGAGAAAAATGTTAACAAAACAGAATAATCCTAGAAGTTAAAGGAAAGGGTTATAATCCAGTGAATCCTAAACTTTTTAAGGAATGAAAGTGGGTTAAATTTCTCATCTAGGTAGAAAATTTTTCCTATTGGAAAATATAGGAGATTCCTAATGGTTGAGTGAGGAGTCATCATTTAGTGAGGGTGTTTAGCTCTGCTTCTTGGCGTCTAGGTAAAGTTGATAAAAGCATTATTCTTTTGAACTACAAAAAATACAAAAAATCAAACATGATTTCATTCCTGAGAGCAAGAATGTTGGTTGATTTAAAACGTACAAATTGAATGTAATCAATTGCATTTTCTTAGGTTAAATTTATTTTCATGTTTTCCTTCTGCTTTTATGGTGTTCCTTAAAAAACATAAAGAAATGTTGCCAGCAGAGCTATAAGCTTTGTTATAGAGTTGAATAATCCTCTTTTCTTCTGAGTCTGCTTTCTTTTTCCTCCTGTCAAAAGTGGACCTTTACAGAGAGCTAGATATAAGTTGGGAGTAGAATTAAACAGTTGCTTTTTCCTTACATGAACTTTGGTAACTTAATTCTTTGTTATCTATACTTGATAAGATTGGTAATAATTGATGTCAAATTTGGACCGTGGCATTTGGTTGTGCATGTTCTAAATATGAGAACAGAGAACTCAGTATATTTTCCATTTTTCCTTGTTCTCATGATTGTCTTGGTGGTGAGCATATTTTTATAGTCTGAGAATAGTCCTTTACCTGTAGTGATCATTCCTGGCAATTACTTTTATAGACTTGGAAATTTAAAATTTTTTTTTGTTCAGTGTTCAGGAATAAAGGTCTTGAAAAGAAAACTCAGCTTTAAGTACTGTACTGTATTCATTAGTAAAGTATTTAAATAGTAATCCCTCCTATTGAGCATTTATTACTTTACCAGCTCATGCAGTGAAATCAGAACAGAAATGTGTATATTGTACACAGAAGTACTGCTAAGGCAAGCAAATGTACTACCTGTACAAATCTAAATTTTTGAAAATTCAATATTACTGTATATCATACAGTGAAAAATTTTAAGTAACTATGAATTAGTAAGAATAAATAGTTTACCTTTTTATCATCCATTTTCATTTTTAACTTTTTTTTGTTTTAAAGTCTGCAGATGCACTTTTGGTGGCAATCGACTCTGAAGTAGTGGGAGCTGTTGATATACTACTTAATCATCGGCCAAAACGATCATCAAGACCAACCATAGTAGTTAGTACTCTTAAGTATTTACTAATTTGGATTTTAAACCAAGTAGCTCTCCTGCCCCATTGCCATTTTTTCCTCCCCCAAATTTATTTTTTTATATAGATTTTTTTTTCACTTTGTAAAAGTATAGCTTTAAAGTAAGTAGACTCTTGATAGAATAAATAGTATTGCTTTAAGGAAACCTTTCTGAAATTAGTTGGTAATTTATCAGTGTGAACCATTGTTTTTAGTTTGGAATATTTTGCAGGTACTGTTGAAAATATCATTAGTTTCCAGATAGATTAAAGAATTAAATGTAAATAATGAAACCATAAAATTGAAAGAAAATGTAGATGAATATTTAACTGTTTAGGAGTGGAAGGAATTTTCAAAGCCAAAAAGCAGGGAATAAAAATAACAGAGGCACAATGTGACTAATACAGAAATTAAATTTCTTGAATTCTAACAGACAAAACTTAAAAAGGGATTACTGGCAAAACATTTACAACAAATATCTCAAATTACTAATATTAATACTAGATAAAAAAGATGGAAAACTAAAAACATTAGGAAAAGACATACGAAAATGCAAAATAATATAGTAAAATTACTAACAATCAATTACAAGATACTAATTTTTGCTTATCAAATTAGTAAATTTTTTTGAGATGGACTCTCAGTATGTTGCCAACACAGGTCTTGAACTTCTGGGCTCAAGCGATATCCTCCACCAGCATACTGAGTAGCTGGGACTATAGATATGTGCTACTGTGCCCAACTCAGCAAATATATATATTTTTTAAACAGTAGTCGCTGATGACAAGGGAGTAGTATTGGCTTATAAATGTACTACTAGTGGGGCAAGATGTGTCATAAACAAGAAAGGTGTTCATATTTCTTAACTTTATGCTTTCTTCTCTTAAAATCTATGAAGGAAAGGGCTGAAAAATAAAGGTAGACAAAACTTCAAATTACAGTCTTTATTGTAGCAGTGCAAAAAAATTAACCTATCTGGGAGCTGGGGATATAGCTCAGCAGGCACAACTGCCTGCCTGGCAAGCATAAGGTCCTGCATAATATGCAGTCATTAAAACATTTTAGAAACAATTTTTAGAAATATGGAAAAATAAATATTGAGAGAAAATGAGAAAAGTAAATTGTACATATAATTTAGTCTAAGGTTAAAAATATGTATATGAAAGAGATTGTATATAAGTAGAACAAAATGTTATCTTACAGTGCTCATCGCTTTGATTGATGAAATTGAGGACTTTCCCCCTGCTTTTGAAGTTTTTCTTTATTGCTTTTATAACTAGGAAGACAGTCACTAGTAAATACTAACTGAAAAAGTGAGATACTTCTTGCTCATCAAATTTTTAAAATTATAAAACTTATGAAATGTGCATTTTAACTACTTTGAGTATAAACAGAAGAAAAATATCATTTAAAAATAATTATAAATTGGTAACACTTTTTGTCATCTGATAACTGAGAAATTCTTCTAAGTTTCATACTTTTATCATATGTTAAATGAAAAACTTTACTCATTTAGATTATTAAAAAAAAATTGTCACTTGCTGGGCTAGTGGTGCAGCCCAGTGGTAGGACACTTGCATAGCATGTACACAGCCCTGGTTCGATCCATAGCATCACAAAATGACAACAACACAATAAGACTTTCTCTAGAGGACAGTACTACCTACTCTGTTATCTCAGCTTGTTTTTCTCCTTTTATTGGGAATGGAACTTGGGACCTTGTGCTTGCCAGGCAAGTGCTTGTGCTGCTGAGCTCCAGCTCCAGCCTACCACCTACTCCAAGTATTGATAAGAAACCAACAAGACTAAAAAAAGAAGAGCTAAACATATAGTTCCTATCCAGAGGACTTTTAAAATATCTAAACTTTGTCAGTTTTTTGCCATTTACCTTGTAATTACTGACACATTTTGGTATACATGTTGGTATTCCTAGTCTTTAAAAAACACTTTCTATTTTGTCTTAGGAAATAAAGATTATTCAGCCTTTATTTGAATATGTCTAGTGACAGTAATATTATTTGTAAAAGCATTATTATTTCTACATGGGCAATATTAAATATTCTGTATGCTTCCTTTTATCATTTCAGTGAAACAATTCTGTATTCTTGGCTTACCAAAATTATCTTTTATACCGGGGATTGAACTTGGGACCTTGTGCTTGCCAGGCAGGCGCTTATGCCGCTGAGCTATATCCCCAGTCCCCAAATTATCTTTTGTGCAATTGACTTTCAGATGTTTTCTTGGTAGTGTTTGATTATGCTATGAGCAATGAAATTGTTAACTTTAATCTTATGCATTTATAGTTAAATATGGGAAACTTAAAGGCTCCTTTCTATTAAAGTTTTTCTCTTAGGATTAAGTATATTTTTCTCTATAACTGATAATCCAACAAGAAGAAGAAGGGCTAATTTTAGGATTTTCTGTAATTTTTAAATAAATTTGCTAATTTGAATTCTCCAGTAAATAAACAGAAAGTATATAAACAAACTTCATAAGAGAAAAACAGATAAGTGTATCAGCAAGTATTAAAACTTATCAGTAATGAAATCAAAGTAAATTAAATTTTGTAATAATATATTTTTATTCATAAATTAGGAGCAATCATGCCCAGTGCTGGTGAGTAAAGCTTTAGTATGAAATGAAGCATCTTATGTTATTGGTCAATAAATTATTAAAAGGCTTTTGACATTATGTATCAAGAGCTTCAAAACTGTTCATGGCAGTAGACTTACAATTTCAGTTCTTAATAATCTGTTAATGAGATAATCCTTAATTTGCAAAATAATATTTTCATAAAGATGTTTGTTTACTATATTTTTAATTAGCAAATTATTTTAAACAGAGCCTATGAGCTTTCTTAAATGTAAAATTCTGTGCTTGAATTTTTCTCCTTGAAGATCCTGGGCTATAATTTTTATAAGATTATTAAAAGAGCCCTTGAATTTTGAAATAGTAAGAGCCACTGTTTTTAACCACTGGTGCTTATATATACCTGTTTATGCAAAAGATGACCTTAAAAGGGTGTTCAATAGAAAAAGGACTGGAAACATATACTGTACTGTAAAATGTTATTTGGTAGAAGAAATATGGGTATTTTTATACTTCTTTCTGCTTTTCTATATTTTTCAGATATTTTGTAATGAGTGTACTCTACTTTTACAGTGTTAATAAAAATTACCAAAATGTGAACTTGATGAGCTTGCACTGGAATCAAACAGCTCTCAGGGAAACCTCTGCAAAAAAGTGAGAAGTATTGGAAAGAATATGCAATAGTCATGAAATAGTTAACTTTTTTGTTTAACCCCAGTTCTTTAACTATTAATTATTTTCCTCATTTCATGTCATCCCCAGGCCAGTGGGCCTATGTAGTGAGAAGAGCTCAGGCTCTTGATAATACAAACCTGGACTAATCATAATAATAGTAATACAAACCCACTCAAGGGCACATTAACTTCTCTGAGCCTCAATTTCTTTTTGGGGATTAATTATACCTAGTTTTGCAGGCTACCAGGGGGATAAGTGAGATGATAAATGTAAAATGCCTGATAGTTTTAGGACTCATTAGTAGTTATGATTGTTAGTTTTGTTTTGTATTTGTAGTAGGAACTAGTATAGGCAATTGTTGGGAATGTGTAGAGAATTATACAACATGAAGAGTGCTTCCTTATTTACATACCTTTTTCAAGTGCTTCATTGCTTTAATGTGACAATTTACCATAGAGGTGGAATTTTTTATTTTTTTTCATTCATTTGTACTCTGCTTATTTTTTAACATTTCCGTTTTCCATTATATTCTTTTTCTAAAAATCTTGGTTGTTATCCTTGCCATGCATGTTTCTCTGATCTTGTAAAAACTAAACACTTTTTCCTAAGGTATTTCTCTAAATATCATCACTACTTCTTTGGTAGGAAGACAGAACTGTAGTTCTGAGTTATCTATTGAAATTTTACCAGCTATTATACTGTATTTATTAATGAAAATTTTGAGGTTTTAAAAAATTCATTCCAAATAAAATATTAAGTTCTTTTTGCCTTCCATTTTTTTATTTCATCCTTAAGATAATTTTTTTTAAATCACAAGTAATAATTTTTGGACATTTCATAAATATTTTTCAGAAACTAATGGAACGGATTCAAAATCCTGAGTATTCAACAACTATGGATGTTGCACCTGTCATTTTAGCTGCTCATCGTAACAACTATGAAATTCTTACGATGCTTTTAAAACAGGATGTGTCTCTACCCAAGCCTCATGCAGTTGGCTGTGAATGCACATTGTGTTCTGCAAAAAACAAAAAGGATAGCCTCCGACATTCCAGGTTAGAAAATTATAATTTTTGATGAATAGATTTGTGACACAGTGAGTGTATATCTGTGATGTTGGGTTTTAAAACTGATATTCTTTCTATGCACTTTTAAGAATGTGATTACAAGTTATTTAGGAAAACCAAATTGCTAGCTCCTTTTCTTATTGAATTTTTCAGAAATACTTGTCAGTGCTAAGTAGTTAGGAAATGAATGATGTTCATCTCCTACTCTTGATGAATAGGGATGCTGTTTGCTTTTAAGTGGTACAATTCATGAGTCCAAGAAAACTTCCAACTAGTGGAAGGAGTAGAGGTACCATTTTTTATCTTTTGTATAAAGAAAGCAAAACAATATTCTGGTCTGTAATCACACGTGTTATCTGTTGCACCACTAGCCCATCAAATTATTTTCTTTAAATATTTGACCTGTTTGGTCTTCTCTCCACTTGTAGGCATTATTTAAGTCTGTGCTTTCCACTACATAACATTTCTTCTTCTTTCCCTGTTTGAAAATGTTAAGAATAGTGGAGATAGTTAAAGTATTTTATCATGTACAAGTTTAGTAAGATCACAAACGTGTATAAGATGTATGGCTGTGGGATAGATTTGAGAATCTTGATTTTGGGCATATGCCTTTGTAGATTTAAGTAGGATTTTCCTCTAGCAAACCTCATATTGGCATTGTGGTATTAAGGGGAGGTGGGGCCTTTGGAAGATAATTGGATCCTGGGGCACTTTGTAAGAATAAATGAATGTGTTTCTGAGGAGACTGTTAGTTCCTTTGAGTCTGGATTAGTTCTCATGGTAATGATATAGACTGCTTCTCCCCTCTGCCACTCTCCAGGTATGCTTTCTTCTGCATATGCCTATTTTTGCTTTTTTCCATGAAACCCTCACTGCAAGCAGGACATACACAGGCACCATGCTCTGGGATTCTCAGAACTATGAACCAAAATAAGTCATTTTTTAAATAAATTATCCATTCTCAGTATTCTGATAAAGCAACAAAAATAACATTATATAGTTGTACCTTGGTTTATGAATGCTTTTGTTTGCGAACAGTTTGGTTCACAAACAGAAGAAGCACTGGAAAAATTTTGTTTTTGTTTGAAACTCTGCATCAGGTGATGAACACCAACCATGGCCATCTTTCCACAGGCACATGAATGTGGCTTTCTTTTCCACAATCATGGAATGAATTAATTTTGTGAACTGAGGTAGCACTGTACACGCAATTAAAAATGATAAAGTGTAGTAATTAAGCATGCCATTTATATATATGCAAGCAGTAATTAAATATACTTAGTTGATACGTTATCAGTATCAGCTAAGACTGGACGTGGTGGCATGCCTATAATCTCAGCTCTTGGGAGGCTGAACACGAGGTCACTATGAGTCTGAACTATGTAGTGGGACCCTGTACTAAAAAAAAAAAAAAAAAAAAAAAGAGTAACATCTACTCTGGAAAATAGAAGTCCCAAGCAGCCTGCTGAAAATTAATTTTAAGTTAAGAGTTTTTGGATAGCATATAAAATAAAATTTAAACCTCCAAACCATTCTCTCCTTTTTCTTATTCACATATCTCAGATGTATTGATAGTCACAAATCCATAAGTGGGGAAAGCTTTCTACAAATCAACTTAATGTTTTTTGAAGAGATTTAACTAGAAATGTTTTATATTTTCAGATCTATTTTGCAAAGAGATTTATGTTCTCTTTGATAAGATCTGACTAATAGTCATGGCTATATCACTTCACTTTTTAGTTTTAAAAGAACTAGTTCATAAGATGACATGGAAATTATCTAAAGGCTTATTTCAGCTGTAAAATCTGTCTTTAAATGTAAACATTTTCCAAATTATATCCTTCTTAAATGCATATGTAGTTGAAGCAGCTGGAGGTGAGAGATTGAGGCTGGAGAAAACACTTTATCTGGTTTGATCTGAGGCTGCAAAAAAGCATGTCCTGCAAGCTTTTAAAGAAATTAGGACTTGAGATAGATCTTTAAGAATGAATAAGAATTAAAAGTTGAAGTATTACAGGCAGAAAGTACAATATGTAATTGTGGCTTATTTGGGATCTGTAAATGATTAGGAATATTAGCAGAAGAGTTTAAAGGACTTTAATACTGATTCTTGAGAAAACAACTACAACAAATGGTAAAGGACCCTGACTAAAATAATTTCCAGAAATTGTTAAGTAGAGATTCAAAAGAAAAGAAGGCTAACAAAACGAGCAAAAAGGGAGGTGGATGATTCTGTAAAGGTGAAGCCTATGTACTAACAGAAAGTAAGGCAAACTGTATTTATATGAAATATTGTTTTTCTGGGCCGAGATAGCTCAGTAGAATAAGTGCCTGCCTGGCAAGCGCAGGGTCCTGAGTTCAATCCCTGGTATCACAAAAAAATACATTAAAAAAATTTCAGGTCCTGGAAAAAAAAATACTGTTTTTAAATTTCAGAGACAATATAGCTCTAGGTGAATATAATATCTGGGGACAATGTTTCCAGATGTGATAGGGAAAGATAGTAAACCATTTGAGTTTAGAAAACATTTTAGTAATATAATTGCTATGATTCAGTTTTAGTCTCTATATTTAAAATATTTGAATTTGCAAATAACTTTAAAAGAAGATATGAAATCTTTGTCATCTAATGGAAGCAAACTTTAAAAACAAGAGAAAATGGAATTAGGATAGCAAAGTAATGACTAGCTAGTTAATTTAATTTACAATTTGTTCCACTTCACAATGTTTTTTATACAACTTTTTGAGTGCACAATGTATACTTAGCTTTACTCATATTAGTACCCATTGCACCCTGAAGACAAATCAATTTGTAAAACTTGGTAGGTCTCTATCAATAGGATGCTGACATGGTGAGCTCTAGAGTAGTCATAGAAATACGGATTCTTCTGGCATAGTAGCAAGAAAATAGATTGAAAGAAAAATGCCGATGCTACAGTCCTTGGAGTGACACAGAGATGGAGAAGTGGCAAGTGCTGATAAAGAGGGACTGTTAGAATAACTGAATGGTATGGATCACCAAAAAAAGTGATTTGGAGTCTTCTAAAAATGATGGATAAGTTCTGTAAAATTTAGGTATTATGAAATGATACTTTGCTATTTCTAGTCTCTCTAATGGAACATACTGTTCGTTTTTATAAAACATTAAATTAATTATATGTGCATGTTGAATCATATACTCATAATTGGAATAAGCAATAATTTAAATATTTTCAAGACAAAATAATCTTCACACATCATCTATATGGGAACTTTGCTTTCGGTATTTTCTTTTTTTAAAAACAGTACTGACACAAGAATGTATGAATAAATTCTTAAATTCTTATACAAATTCTTTAACATTGAGCAGAAATCTCTTTATCCAAATTCTCTGCTTTACAGAGCCAGTGGCTATTAGCAGCTTCTCATTTTCTCTCTGGTCCCTGTGGCTAATATTCCAAGTGGTCAGAAATGACTCCATTACATGTTAGAGACTCTCCCTCTCAATTTCTGCCCTTACAGGTTCCATTCAGGTTTCCTGTCTTCTTTTATTAAGTTATTCACCTTGCTCAATGATTATCAAACTATGATACGTTAGCCAAATCCAGTGCCAGTGATTCTATAAATAATGATTTCTTGGAACATGCCTATACCCTTATTTTTAGATTATCTGTTGCTATTATCATGATATACTAAGAGTTGAGTAGGCAACATTTAAGCAGTATGGCCTTCAACGCCTGAGTTGTTGATTATCTGATCATTTACAGAATGCTACAATTTGCACAGGGAGTGGGGTCTGAAGAGGAGCCCAAGGGAGATAAAAAGAAATGGTACATAAAATGAAAGTTGGGACCAGGTGGGACCTGACTTCTGATGGAGAGGCAGCAACAACCTAGCACAGTCTACATTTTTATTTTTACACAGTAAAAAGGGAGGAAGTATGTAATAGGGCCAAAAGTACAGTCTCAGTGTTTTGCTGAGAACACTGAAGATGAAACATTCTCAGAGCTATTTGTGCTGTAGTTAACAGGGAGGAACAACTAGGCCATATACTGGGTGCGCTGGCTTTGTTCTACTCCCAACAGCTTGTTCATGTGGCCGCTTCTGGAGCTCTATGTTTTCAGTGCTGGTCTTGCTCTCCCTGAATGTGTGGTTGATCTATAGCTCAGCCACTCCCCACAATGGAAAATGCCTGCTAGGGTTTGATCTATCTACAGGCTTGTCAATTTATTGATCTTTTCTAAGAAACAGCACTAACTCATTCATGGGCAATGTTTTAATTTTTTTTTTCCTATATTACTGCTTCTAACTGGACTTTTCTTCCGGTTCAAACTGAGTTTGATTTACTCTCCTTTTTTTCTAGTTTCTTAAATTAGAAACTTGGCTTAGTTTTTCTAGATCTTGCTTCCTTTCTAGTATGTGTGTTTATGATACTATTTTCCATATGATTTTTCTTTGACTCATGAGTAATTTTTTAAATTATAGATTTAATTTTTTAGGGCCATTTTAACAAATTTCACAGAACAATTCAGCAGGAAGTGTAGAATATCCTTGTTATATCCCACTCCCTGCAGATATTACCCAGCATCAATATCCCTTACTGGTATGATACACTTGTTACAACAAATAAACCAACATTGGTATATCATGATCACTGAAAGTCTATAGTCTATATTAAGGCTCACTCTTTTTTGTCTTTTTGGGACAGGGTCTTGCTGTGCAGGTGAGGCTGGCCTTGGGCTCACTTTGTAGCCCAGGCTGTTCTGGAGCTCCCAACAATCCTCTGGCCTCAGCCCCTGGAGTGCTGGGATTATAGGCATGCATCACCGTGCCTGGCTCAGAGTTAACTTTTAATTCTCTTGGTTTTGGAAAACATATAAGCACATGCATCCGTCACCATTACAGTATCATAGAGAATAATTACACTACTCTAAAATTCCTGTGTTATGTCTGATTCTCTTCTATCTTCCCAAGTTCCTGCCAAGCACTCATGTTTTTTTAAAAGCTTT